TGATTTGTTTTATTGTGTAATCAAAGTAATAAATGGAGTTTAATTATAATACTATTCAGCCGCTTTCCATATTGAAAAAAATACGCGTTTCGTTTTCCGTAATGCTGTATGTACTATGGTTATCCTCAAAATATTGTATCATGGACACTCGATTAGAAAGAAACGGAACGCTTAACTCTGTGCCTTTCATTCATTTCAAGGTTACCGATTTAGGAACGTTTTTCTAGTATGAAGTGCGCACTCCCTATATTATATTATAACCTTGAGGAAAATAGGCGTTTGGCAGAAATATTTTGACAGTGACATGAAGGAGCCATCCGAACGATGGAAGATATATAACTTGCGTGACACCGATCTGCAATTCCCAAACTTTAACTGCAAAAAAGTTATTTACTTGTAAATAAAGAAAAACGTGGTGCATTTAATGTCGTTTCTATTTATGTACAGACCGTCCAGAGTCCAGATAAAGAATGGAATTAGAAATGGCGGCTCATCGAGCCTGTGCCATCAACATGCATGCACAGTATCAATAGCGAAAATTCACTAATAACGGTATAACGTTATATTATTCAGTTAATTGGAAATTTTCTATAATAGGAAAATATTTGAAAAGAATTGTATACGCAAGTAGGTAAATTAATTTTAAAATAACATTACTAATTAGCCACCTACTCTGACTTCGCCTGGGTGGGATCTAATTGACGGCTTAAGATAATCATTAAAGACCATTTATTTTATCTTATCAATATTTCTATTTTAATAAAATCTAAATTTTTAGGATAAAATTTAATCTAGATCACTCCTGGTATTACTCTCTATTTGTTCGTGAAGTTTTATTATATTTAAGATTAACTCGGACAGACAGACAAACGAAAATTTTAAAAATGGTTACTCATGTCAATGGCATTTAAATATTTTATACAAAAATATTAACAAACAAAATCAACAGTAAATATGAGGAAATTCTCAAAAATCGTCGAAGCTCACAATTTGGGTCTGAAAAAATGGTAAAACCAGCCTAATATTTTTGTAGTTTATGACATTTTCTTATTCTTTACTCTTTCCACTCGTATAACCGCACGGGTTATAGAAACAACTAGTCAACGACAACAAGTGTGTGCGCAAGCGCAGTTGCACTCTTTATTTTCTCACGCTCATTATCGGAACGGCAATCCGACATGACCTGAGAGAGATCAGGGGCAAGATCAATGGATAAAAGGACCATGGGCAAAAATGTATGAAGCCTGGGCTCACCCACCAACAGCGATGAGATGACTTTTAATATACTTGTACTGCAATAAATATAAAAATATAAACTCATTTATGTGAAGAATCCATGGGGTTATTTTTCTATAAATATTTTTCTTGTACCATAAATAAGCTATTGTTACGAGCTTGGGGTTCGACACAATTAAAAACTGCCGATTGAATTACCAAAATTTACACTTTAATTACACAACACTAATTACAATCTAAAATCACACTAATAATAAAACATAATCACTTTAGTTCGCAGTTATTTCGCTTCGAAGTATTCTGTTGTATCGCCAATCCAATACTGCCCTAGTCGTGGTCTATACCGGCTTTATATAGGGCCTCAGACAGTTTCCAGAACCTTCCACTGTAGCGACATCTAGAATGTTCGAGCACATATCGGTCCCGAAGTTTCTGGAAGGATTTTGACTCTCCTAGTTCCGCTACTCGACACTAGAGGGCGCTAGTGTAACTAGTGTTGCCATGTACAAGACATTAATAGTGGCGCGCAACACTATTATCCTGCAAAGTAATTCTGTTATGACATTGTCGTTTTTGTTGTTTGACATCTTAAACTAGTTTTAATTCCAGGTGCAAAAATATATAAAAAAATAAAACAGCTGTTTATCAGTTAAAAACATTTCAATCAATATCAATAATAATATCGTTTAGATGATCTGCCGGTGGATTAAATTGTATATATCTAGATACCATATTATTAAAATGGTATATATGCACAACTTCCTACTATGCGCCTACCTGTTACACATGAGCAGTAATATTGAGCGATGGCATCTGGACCTACTTCATTTCTGTTGACCAGAATATATACGTAATGTGTACGAACATGTCTTCATTGTATTCTTCATTTTGTAGTTACACATTTTGGTGTTGGATATTGCATGCTGCTAAATCATGTAATTCATTTTCACGATAGATTTCTATCGTATATAGGTAAACCATAGCGTAAATGTTCGCTGCAATATGACTTATGAAGATCCAAGGGATTACAAGGGATATAGATATATAGTAGGATATAGTAGAGCGTGTCCGAAAGGGGTGAGAGGAATAGAGGGTGTTGTAAATCTTACGGGCGCAAGCGCATCTATTGTTTAACATTATTTTAAAGTATGAATTTTGTTGTTACAATAACAGTTTTATGACTACCAAATATCTTTTTCTACAAAACTTATTAAGGTGCATAACTTTTTTTTGCAATGGAATTGAAGGTGGTGCCGATAGTAACAATTTAAATATGAACAAAATCCTTTACAATAACATATGCCATAACTCTGTTGGACACTGAGCCCAATTTGACGCATGGCCTTTTACGTGCTATCTGAGGAAACGCCGCAACTTTTTTTCTGCAGGATGCTCCTTAGAATTTGTTGTCAGGAAAACCCAAAATATCGATAAACAATATATCGACAAACATATTTATTATATTATATTCACAGTAACTTATAATTGTGCTGTAAAAATATACATTTATTTTTACTAAGGAAATGACGCCTAGTAAAAAGTAGCGATAATAATATAATCGTTGCCAAAACGAAAAATGTCGTAATAATGTCATATTTTTTATAGATATTCAAAAATTTCACATGAAAATCTCTTTTAAACTGTCAGGGTGGTCTTGCTACAATTTCAAGCAGATCAATTTATAACAATTAATTTATCTATAGATTAGTAAATAAACTAAAACAATTGTAATGTTTGCGTTATAAGTTAATTAATTAATTTACTACCTATTTAAATATAGTAGTTTTTACGCAATTCGTGAATACTCAATCAGATAAACAAAAAGAACAATAGACAAAAATTCTAAAAACCGTTAATTTGTCTCAAGATTTTCAAAAATTTTTAGAATTCCAGACGCGACTCTTCATCAGATTTATTATATAATAATGTTTAATTTCACTTATTTTTTAATTTTCTACGTTTCGGCGGAAGGACTACAGTGATTGACGTCCCGATGTCAAAAGTTAACCTGGAGTACCTTCACCTGTTAATTATTACTTTTGGTCCGATGAAATTGATTGTATCTTAAAGTCTTTCAGTGGTATTCTTGGGTTTAGTTTTACAGGTGCCCAAGCAGTTGGTAGTACTCAAAATCCTTCTGTATTCAAATTAAGATGTATTTATTTTTATTTCAATAGCTTCAAGTGTATTCGTTCTTCTGATCACAAACTGCAGACTTCCCGGAGCGTTGATGTTTTACGTCAGCTATATGTTCTTTTATAGATGTTTATGCCCTATATAAAACAGACCACATTCACAATCAAGCTTGTACACTCCTGTATCTTGTACTGCATCTTCGGCTTGTAGTATGTTCTAATAGAAGCAAGATGTAGAAAATCTTGTCTGTGACTCCTCCGACATATGGTAGTATAGCAGGCACACGCTCGACTGTGACCGGCTTCACTCTGTCACTGTAACCTAGATGCGTGACCTGAAGCTTGTTGACATGCAAAACCTGCTTGACAAGCTGAAGCTGATCCTGTAATTAATAAAATTAAAACTAAGCCCAAGCATACCACTTCAAAATTTCAAGACTTCAAGACACAGTAAGCTCATTCTGAGTTGATCGGACTAAAAGAAATAATTAAAAAGCTGAAGGTACACCGGGTTAACTTTAATATTGGGACGTCAATCGCCTTAGTACCCCCGTGATCATAGTGCTGCAAAGCACCTAAAACGTTGGGAATTAAAAAAATAAGTAAAATAAAACCCGATAAAATCCGTTAAAAATAATTTCCCGTCGTATCCGTTAAAATTTTTCAAGGTGGAGTGTTTGCGTAAATATAAAAAATTATACGTAAGTAATATTAAGTATTAAGTGAGGATAATAACTCCTGTGTTAAAATTAGTTTTTAGTTTTTGAATCTTAATATTTCGAAGACTAAGTTTAGTTGCTTATAGTAAATTAAAAATTATAAAAAGAAATTGTTCTCAAATATAATATATTTAAACTAAGGTTTTGTTACATTCCATATGAACTTGTGAGGAACATACATAAAATAGAGGGGTTTGTGTCTAATATAATATTCAAATCAAATTAAGTCCTACTTAATACCTATGTTTAAAGAATACTCGTATGCTTCAACATTTTATCTAATTCGATTACAAACTCTGCATCCCTGGAAATCATTATCACCTTATTATTAGGAAAGACGGAATAAACAAAATTAAGAGTTTGTCGTATGATAGCGAAATCTTTAAAAATAGAAAAAGGAAGAATGGAAAATGAGAACTCAGAAAAACTAAAAAGGAGAATAATGAGAATATAAAATAAAAATACCAAACGCAAGAATATGTAACGAACATCTAAAACCTACAATCATAATATTTATCTAACATTTTAAAAGTTTAAATAGTAATATTATTAAACAAAGTCATGTTTCCATTATATTATAGTTAACTCTATATTATCATCTTTTGTATGTAACTGATAAGCTTAAGTTGAATAAACTATAACTAACTATAACAGAGCTGTCTGTAGGTACTTTTCTCCAAATTTATTACAAAAGTTTAACCAAGATCGAGGTGACACACTTGTATACAAGTGAAGTCGGAAACAATCACGCCGCGTAGTGCGGCACGGAACCGGCTATAGCGCGCGCGCATTTTTTTTGACGCAACTGCTGCGATTTATTTATTAACGAAAGCCTTCTTTTATATGCGCATTCGTCGGTAGAATAATATAAGTCAATTGTGTAATATTTTTTTTAACATTTTCATTAAAAATGGAGATATCAAAAAACAACAATTTTCCATTAGAATTGAAAGACGTTGAACCAGAAACGGCGAAATTATTAATGAAATATTTCACTGGTAAGTCAAAAAATCCCTGCAAAATACTAATTTGTAAATCTAGAAAATTATCATAAAAGTACTTATATAATAATTTAATAAAAAATTATTATACAAAGTGTAAGTGAAAATAATGTGCCAACTATGTTACTTCTCTAGCATGTCGTAAAAGACGTAGAAGACTAATATGATATTGACTTAGTGATTGTGTAGGCGATATGTTAGCTACCTATGACTAACTTCATTATTTTGTCTTAATGTGATCCGAGTAACTCACTGCTCTTTGGACTCTGCCTAACTCCTTTGGTGATTGTAGGCATGACACTATGTATGTATGTACTGACTTTAGGAATTTATGGTAAAATTAGTACTATATATAAAATAACTTTATGAATAATAACTATAATATATGAAATATATAGCTCTGTTGAGGTATCAATTGTATCCTCATTTTCATCAGCCTATTGACAGTCTACTGCTAGACATAGACCTCTTTCATCATAGGTACTAATCAGGACGGCGCAGCGGTTTAGCAGGTGGATCAGTACACTTAGCGCCTGCTGAGCGCAGCAATTCTAATTCGTACTATGTAGTAATATAGTACACTGAGCAGCAACTGATTCTAATTCATAGTAGTACTGTAGTACACTAAGCAGCCTGTGGATTTTATATGTGGTATAACTACAAGATGGTATAGTGCTATTTGACTGCTAAGACTTACGACACCCATGGGATAAGATGGAGTTTTTTTTATGACTCTTGACGTAGAAATCTGAAATTTGGACAGTAGCTGGTCTTTTATGACGTAAAAATCCACAAAAAAGGATTTTTAAAATTCAACCCTTAAGAGGATGAAATAAGGTATTACAATTTGTATGAAACTTTTAATTTTACGGGGCGATTGACTCGCAACGAACTGAAAGTATTTCGTAAATAAATTAAACGAATTTTATTTTCTATTATCCATTACGAGGGTTTAGGAAGTTTTCAAATTTGTATGGAGAAAAAATAATAAATGTTTTTTTTTTAATTTTCTAAGTGGTGCGAATATTTTTGAATTAAAATAATAAAATATGCAGTTTTTATTTCTTTTTAAATTTCCTTCTTAAATTTAATTTAAGAAAGGATTTTGCAGAAAAGGAGTTCCGCGTTTCCACTCTCTCGTTTTGACTCTGTAACAGTATTACAGCTGTAACAGAAAATTATTTATTAAAGAAGGAATTTGAATGTAGTGGAGTACGGAGAGAACCAATGTAAGAGCGATTTTCACCATTCGAAACGCTCTAGTCGTAACTTAAAATCTGCGACCACTATCATTTCAAAGTATGACAAAGTTCCCATGTGACCATAAGCTAGGCTCTCCGTACTATGCGATCTCATAACGAGCGTGGGTCGTGGGACGTTACAACTTGAACGCGGATAACGCCACGGGGCGATAACCTAATTAGAAGTTTCGAAAGAAACTGTTTTATTTATAAATAAACTGTTCTTGATACTGTGCTATTCACAACTTACAACTTTAAAATTAATGTCTTTTGAAATTATTTTTTGATATCACTACGTTTATTCCAGATGTATTCCATAAGAGCGACGCTGCAGCTAATTATGGTTGCAGCACGAATGGGTCGGCTCGACCGGGGAAGGGCCACGCTTTCACAGAACACCAAAGTAAAATAGCAGCTTAACCCTTTGCCTGTCCCGTGTATTACATGTTATTCATTGGTATTGTCTTACTATTGTGTCTGCAAACTGGACAGTCAAAGTGTTAACAGTGTGTTTCGTATGGTAAGTGTAGAGAACCGGTAACCCTTGTTACTAGAACTCAGGGGTGACAACGCATCTGAATTTTGATTCTTAATTGCAGATAGTTCTAGATGTCGATGGGCAACAGCATCCACTTACCATCAGGTGGACTGTGTGCTAGTTTGTCATCCATATTCAAAAAAAAATTCACAATTTAAATACCAGAAATTAGAAAATATATATTTTTTTGGATTTTATGTTTTCTCATTTCTTAATATTATATAATAAATATTTAGAAAATGTACTATAATATTATAAAGTGAATTTTTTTGAGAATGTATGGATGTTTATTACTCTTCTACGCAAAAACTACTGAGTGCATTTTAATGAAACTGTAAAATAATATAGCTCATATATCAGAACAACACATAGACTATAAGTAATAAAGATATTGTGTAAATTGGTCAAAATATAACGATAACTGTTAAGTAAGTCGGAAAAAATCTGTCATCTGCGAGCTATTTTGGCGTGCGGTGCAAAAACTATAAAGTATAATTATTATAAATTTCGGTCAAATTAGCGTAAAAGATTTCAAATAAGAGAATATATTAAGAAAACAATCACCATAACCCCGTGTAGTGGCGGGTAAGAATACTCACTACCCCATATCTTCCCGTGGGTGTCGTAAGAGGCGACAGAGGGAAACTGAGGCATAAGATGCGCAGCAGTAACTTTCTGATAGCAGCAAAACAACAATAAAAAACTGCGGTTGCCAACCCGCACGCCAAGCGTGGCAACTGTGGCAATATACCCCCCATGATGAAAGTTGCGAAGAGACGGCCCCGAGTCCCAGCTATTCCTGGCTACGGTGGCAGCCATGGTAACGGCGGGGCAGAGGGTGCTAAAAATCTCCGGTGGAGGTTCGGATGCCACTTAAGACAACATATAACGCACGCACCCTGAGGACTGACGAGACGATCCTGGAGCTGGAAGAAAAGACGGACAAGTTGCGCTAGAATATTATAGGATTATCCCAGGTCCGAAGAGAGGGGGAGGACATGGTAATCCTCGAATCCAGAAACTTGTATGTGGCAACCGGTATCGTCCACAAATGTCTCGTTAACAACGGAAATATTGAGAGTGTCGACGAGGTTTGCGTACCTTATACTCAGAATCACCAAACGGTATTCGGTGAAGGTCATACAGGTTTACGCACCAACCTCGGTACATCCCGATAAGGAAATGGAGGGAATGTATGAGGATATATCTAGAGCCATGTATTCCCCCAAAACCCACTATACGGTGTTGATGGGAGGCTTCAACGCAAAACTAGGCACAAGAGATAACGGTGAGTTGAAGGTAGGGAAAATTTAGAATATGGCAACGGAACCCAAAGGGCCAGCAGCAGGCCGACTTCATGGAGAAAGAGGGACTCTTTACAATGAACTCTTTCTTTCAGAAGCAGCCCCACAGGACGTGGACCTGGTGGAGCCCCCACGGTTCGACAAAACATGAGATTGACTTCATTATGACGACCAGACGACAACTGTTCAGTGATGTCTCAGTGATCGCGAGGGGTAAAACTGGTAGCGATCACCGAATGGTTAGGAGGCACACTGAACCTAAACGTTAAGTTGGAGAGGTCTCGTCTGATAAATTCAACGCTCCGTCCCCCTCGTGCTCTAATCCAGAGTCCCGAAACCTTTCAGCTCCAGCTACAAACCCGTTTTCAGTGCCTAGAAGATTCCAATGCAGTGGACAATATGAATGACATGCTCGTGGAAACTGTCCATGCGGTCGGAGCTAAGTTCTGCAAGAACCACCGCAGAAGAACACAAAAACCCTCCGATCACACTCTTAATCTCATGACTGTTAGATGGGAAATGAAGCTGCAGTCTTTAGCAGATTTGACAGCGTACCGGCAACTGAACAGACAGATCCCCAGATGCATGCGGCGGGACTTACGCAACTTCAATACAGCTCGTATTAAGGAAGTGATCGAGCGGAACTAGAGCTCCAAAGTTTTTGCTAGAGATCTGTCTGCCAAACAGAGCCAACTGTCGAAGCTGAAGACCGAATGTGGCTGCGTCGTTTCCGGAACACCTGAGATTTTGAGTGAGATTGAGAGGTTCTACGGGTAGCTGTACACATCATCGTTGGAGCCACACGCAAGTGTGAGTAACGATCCAAGAGCGTTTCCAAGAGAATTTCATGGTATTAACAGCTTCATTAAAAACAAAGTAAGATTATTGTAGATTGTAACCTTTCATAATTATCTTAACAACTATTAGACGCTCATATTATCTATTGCTGTTATAAGCTAGCTTGATATTCTATTTCTGCGTTATCTATAAACTTTACTATGTAGCATTTTAATTTTTTTTAATAATTTTTTCTAACACAAAGCGCGAGGTAATTCAGTACATTTAATAATTTCATACATACATACATACATATAATTACGCCCCTTTCCCGTAGGGGTAGGCAGAGACCACTTCTTTCCACTTGCTACGATCCTTACATACTTGTTTCGCTTCGTCCACTTTCATGATACCCTTCATACATGCTCTACGGTTTAGGGTACTACTACGTTTTCAAGACGTCCCTGATTTGGTCTTGAAACGTCCGCCTAGGGCTACCCCTTCCAACACTTTCATTCATACTCGCCTTATACACTTTTTTCGTCAATCGTTCTTCATTCATTCTCTCGACATGGCCAAACCATCTCTGCATACCTTTCTCAATTTTTGTCACTACATCTTCTTTCAGATCAATTTCAGATCAATATTAAACTCTAAATGTAATGAAAAGTAATAATTTTTATTAGATAATGGGTGACAAACGAGCACACACTCCACCCGATGGTAGGTGAATACTGTGGCCCGTAGACGTCTACATCTCGCCTCAATAAAGAATCAAAAAATGCAGATGTGTTGTTACCCCTGAGGACTAAGATGGAACGCCTCGTTTCCAGTAAAAGGGGTCTCCGGTTCTCCATACTCACCATAAGAAATAAAGCAGCATTAAACTGCAACTTACACTTGTATACTATGAAGGTGTGGTCCTTCCCCGGTCGAACCGACCCATTCGTGCTACAACTATAATATACCTGCAGCGTGGATCTACATGTAATGAAATGTAGTATGTTTATGTTTTCGAAGTATAAAAATTAAAATTTTACTAACAAGCGTCCTTTGTTTTCCAAATCTATCTCGAATGAGTTTTCGGTTCCCCCTACTAAAGAAGAAATGGTTATAGAATATCTGCGTGTATACTCTATTTTTTGTTGTTTTTTAACTATTAATTTTACTATGGTATCCTATATATTACAGCATATTATACCTATTAATTAAAATCATCAGTAAATAAAGTATGTTCTTTGATGAGAACAAACAATAAACAAGCTGAAATAATATATTTTAATGACTCCATAAAGATAGACCGGTCCGTGGCGCAGTGGCATAGCAATGAGTTGTTTCGCTGGGGGCCGCGGGTTCGAATCCCGCACGGAACAAGTTATTTGTATGGCCTACAAATAATTGTTCCGGGTCTGGACGTTTGTCCTCGTGCAATTTATGTTTGTAAACTGCCTCCACGATACAGGAGAAAATCCTAGTGCGGTGGTAACGTTTTTAAAAAAAAATCAAAAATCGAATACAATAGCTATAATGGCTTTAAATATTTTATCCGTATAGAAATGACATTACTTACGGTAAATTCTAATTGATTGTATAAATAGACAACTTATGTATATATAAAAAATAATGCCAGAGTTGAAATTAAATATTGATATTCCTTTGATCCAGTACTTAAGAAGTTTTAATTTCACTTCATAGTACGTCACTAACAGTAGACCATGGAAACTTGCAAACAAATTCAAAATACTACAAATGCGTTGTCTCTTACCACAGTTTGTAATTACTTTATCTATAAATATCAATCAAATCAATTACATGTTCAATTTTTTTCTAACAAATTTTCCAGAGGAACCTTATATAATAAAACATTGGTTTCATTTTTCAAACCGTATTGTAATCGGTAATTTCTTACTTCCTGATGACCTTATAAATATGTAATAGAAATATGAAACAAGGTCTTTGCATTTCGTGCGTCTCGACTGTTAGGTTAGACAATTTGTCTCACTAAATTGGCATTGAAATTAAAATGCCAATTCAATTAAGTTAACGGAAATCAAATACAATAATTTAAATGAAGGCTAATATATTTTATAATTTACTAAATATTTTAAGGTCAGCAATATGCATTTCAAATGTTATGCAATATTAAAATTATGCTGATAACAAAAATTATAATATTATTTTTATATTATAATGTTTTAATTAACTTTCGCTTATGATTAACGAATTTAAGATATCTCCTCTCTATCTAAATGACAATAAGCATTTTTAAAGTTCACTAAAATTGCCTATTTGAATTCTGTATCTGAATGACCTATTACTACATAAAACCTTCTTACCTGTAAAATATTTTAAATAGATAGGTTTGTTTTAACATTTTTATTTTTATATTAATAAATTTGTAATTGCAACATTTTATAAACATAATTTTATAAATTTACAATCTATTTGTACTACTCGAAACAAAAACATAATTCTTTTTTTTTATACGATAAGGGTGACAAACGAGCACACATTCCACCTGATGGTAGTGTAGTAAGTGGTTGCTGCGGCCCATAGACATCTACATCTATCCTCGTTTGCGAATCAAAATGCAGATGCGTTGTCACCCGCGAGGACTAAGATGGAATGCCTCATTTCCAGTAAAAAGGGCCTCCGGCCACCTGCACTCACCGAGCGAAACGCAGAGGTAAACCTCTACTTCACGCTGGTATTCTGTTAGGTCGTGGTACCACCCCGGTTCGAGCCGGCCCATCCGTGCGACAGCAAAAGCTGCCGCGTGGCTCTACCACTGTTCAATTATTTATTCTTTACCAGCTTCTTTAAACACTAAAGCAGATATAGGCCTATTCGAACTGTATTGCATTTTTAAACACACAAACGCTTTCCCAATCTGTGGAATATAGGCTTAGCGTTTGCCTGGTATTCGTCGGTCACCTGCAGAGTTAATAAACACCGCGCGCAAGAAAGCTTGACGTTTAGAAAGGAAAAATTGACGTGGAATATACCATAAGTGCTAAATGAAAACAAGAGAAGCATTTAGGCTGTAGTATACTTAGTTATTTTATAGTTAAACAAATACTTATTGCAAATATAAGTTCGTTAATATCACACATGTATATTATTTTTACGTGTAAATATATTTTACTTGATTATATCATTTTTAAAACAGGTGAGCACACTGGCTTCGTCCGCGTTGGTCCCAAGGGCTACTTCCTCCCTCACAAGTACAAGCTAGAGGCTTCCAACATTTACAACATGGAGGTCAGACCCAGTGACATCTTCGTTGACAGCTATCCACGATCAGGTTAATAAATTTTAAGTATCTAGAGTTATTGTCAGAGATTCCATTATACTTCATTTATTATCGGAGGTATAAGTACCTATAACTAAGTAAAATATATATTATTTTGTGGTTTAATCATCCACAAAAAATGTGTTTTCCTTTCAAAGATATCTTATGAAAATAAGATAGTTGCGTATAAAACTTTTATATAGCCTTTTATAAGCTCTTATAGCAGAATAACAATAAATAGGGGCATTGAAAGTAAGTTAGATTAAATTTGAAATTAAATTAAATTCAAATTGAAACTAAATTTAAGACTTGTAATACTTTTTTACTACAAATTTATTCCTCTATAAAATCTTTATTTGTATTTATAATTTATGTAAGTATAATATGTGTTTATATGAAGAGTGTAAGGAATCTATTTCTATTAAAGTATTTTACAAACATGAGGACCCTTAATAGACACTATTACTAACTATACCAATAGGTTTCAAATCTCTTTTTACAAATAAGACGGAATCAGTTTACCTTCGGACGTACCTCTTTTTGAGGTTACTACGTTCTCTTTAAAATACATGTTATAATATGCACCCTCTCAGGAATGATAGCAGGCCTGTGCCCAGCAGTGGGACGTATATAAACTGTAACTTTAACTAACTTTTAAATAATATGCATAAATAAATAAAAATCAAAAGTAAATAAAATGCTCTTTTACTGTTATTTTAAAATTTTAAATTTTGTTCCACTTTTTATACAGGCACGACGTGGACTCAAGAACTAGTTTGGATGGTGGCAAACGATTTAGATTATGAAACGTCTTACGCTATACCCTTGACCGAGAGGTATCAATTTCTAGAGTAAGTGCATTTTGAACATTCCAAACTCAACCTTTCAAATAAGGTTTTCTCATGTATACCTAGGTTAAAAAACTATATTTTTGAGTTTTAAAATGTTTAATTTATATTACGCTCATACTATGCGCAAACCTACCGCGTAGTGTACGTATAAGTATATTTACTGCCTCATATCACTTCGAGGGTGTTGTAAGCGGCAACAGAAGAAAATAAATCAGGAGATGGGCAGCAGCGTCTTCCTAATAACGACTTTAAAATAAAAGACCGTGGTTGCCAACCCGCAAGCTGAGCGTGGTAATTATGGAAAACATTCCCTTATGGAGGCAATCTAAGAGGCCGCCTAAATTCAGTGGATTTTAATAGACTGTAATGGGTGAACGGATGAGACGCACAAACTTCAAAACAATTTTTGACTACTACTAAATATATCGTTATAAAAACGCGTGCAGCATAAAGGTGTTTGTTTTCTTTTTTTAATTTAAAAAGCACCATTTCAGCATAAGATCACAATGAAAAATGTATAGTGATAAAAATGATTTGTTTTTGAAAACGAAAACTTTATAAGTCTGAATCGAAATATTTTTTCTAGATTTTCAGTTTTTTTCCATCCTGTTATGAAAAAACGCTTCTATATGGAAAATTGTGACAGCGCGAGGAAATTAAAACTGCTAGAATTGGTATCAAAGCCGGCAACAGAGCAGCTGGCTCTTATGCCCTCGCCTCGCTTCATCAAGACTCATCTGCCTCTCTCTCTTCTGCCACCAACACTGTTGGACACAGCTAAGGTCGTTTATGTGGCACGGGATCCTAGAGATGTAGCGGTTTCATTTTACCATCTCAATAGGTCTATGAGAACGCAAGGATACGTTGATGACTTCAAAAACTACTGGAATTTCTTCATTAATGACTTACGTGAGTTTTTTATGGAACAGATTCTATTAACACTCTAGTCACAGATTAATAAAATAATTACCACTAACTTAACTGTAAAAAATATGTGAGCAATTATTCTTCGCTTCGACTTCGCTTTACAAACATCTTTACTAGGAGATCACTTATATAGATCACGTGTGAAATCATCTCGTTGTCTGTCAGTGTGTCATCTATACCTGATACAATTGTTCCTCTTAGAGACTACTGCAGCTTACGTAGAATGTTGTTTACCATTATAGCCTATCAAAAGTCCACTGCTGATAATAGACTTCCCCAGGGATCGCCTCATAGGGGGGATATTTGCCTTAGTTGTGTTGCTTGCGAAGCGGGTAGTAATTATAAATATAATATTTTTCCGGACCGATACAACTTAAGGGCCTTCAAGTAAAGATCCTAGTACGAGTATAATAATTAATTTCGAAATATCAAAATTAAAAGGATCTCAAATGTAGCACTTACTGGATATAACAGATTAAATATATTTTTTATATAAACCATATTCTTGCTCAGCGGAATTTAAACAAAGTGATTATATTATATTATTTATAATAATAATAATAAATGTTTTTATTGACATATAGATTTAACAAATGTAAGTAAGAACAGTGAGTTTAACATCTAAACAATGTTCAAGATAAGATAATTTTCCATTGGACCCCAAACTAGGATAAAATGCATGTAAACGGTTTTCAAATATTTTTGATCTTCTCAGATATAGACATATGTGGTAGAGACATGCTGCAGCTATATTAGTATTATAGCTGTAGCACGAATGGGTCGGCTGGACCGGGGAAGGACCACGCTCTCACAGAATACCAGCGCAATATGGCAGCTTAACACTGCTGTGTTTCGTATGGTGAGTGTAGAGAACCGGAGACCCATTTTACTGGAAAAGAGACCTTCCATCTTAGTCCTCACGGGTGACGACGCATCTGCATTTTGATTCCTTATTGAGGACAAATGTAGATGTCTATGGGTCACAGCAACCACTTACCATCAGGTGGATTGTGTGCTCGTTTGTCATCCTATACTATAAAAAAATATATATCGCGATTTCCTCACAATATTCTCCTTTAATTAAAATTGCAATTAATAACTTCATGTGATTTTATTTTATTAAAATGATAAACTCCTGAGTGATCACGGCTCTCTTCGGAAATGTCGCACCTAAATCCTAACGAAGGGTGATGAGAGCAAAATCACCTTTGCAAGAGTAACAGCTCTGCGTCCATCAATCCGCCTGTCCAGCTTAATGACTATCGGCTCACTAATCTGACAAAGAGGTCCAGAGGTCTCTGTATGTCTGACGTCCCTGCAAAACAAACATCCTAAATACACAAACTCATTTACCTGCTCAACCAACTTTGTATACTTATTTTACATGTCGTTTCTCCATTAAAATTGTTAATTGTTATTTTATTTGCTGATTCAGCTATATGAGAAAAAAATAAGAGAACCAGTTAGTGTTCATCAACAAATGTTGAAATTATTTTTGTGAGACATGAGTGGTAGACTAGACTCGGCCCTAATATTATCTAAAACATAAACAAAAATACAACAACTATATCATAATATGTAACCCTTATGCGAAAAAACGGAAAACTGGCTCTGATGCCGGTTTATTTATAGAAGCAACAGTTCCCGGACCGAGCTTATTCATTTTACGTGGTAGAACTACGCTATACGCGGCTCAACCGGGGAAAACCTCAACCACACAGAATGTTTCGTGTGGTGAGTCATAAGAACCGAAAACCCTTTTTTCTATTAAGGAGGCATTCTATCCTGGTTTTCAGGGGAGACAACGGACCTGCATTTAGTTTCTTAATTAAGCTCAGATGTTAATGTCTATAGGCCACAGTCTCCACTTTTTATCAGGTGGACTGCGTGATCTTTGTCACTCATATTGCATAAAAATTAAACATTGCTACACCTCGGAATGGATGTTTATTTATCATCCTCATTCCTAAAACAAGCTAAATATTATACGCGGCTCTGCTACGTTACGTTCAGAAATACGGAAAACCTTAAAGCGCAACACGGAAACTAAATAATAAAAACAACTTAACGTAAATTCAAATCCGTTTATTCGTTTGCGATATATGGTTTACAATAGATCTTAATAATTTAACAAAAATACAGCCATATTCTACCTTGTGGTGTGCAAACTAAAATATAAGATGTTTTTTATATACACATTATATAATTATAATGAAAATGAAAATACATAAAAAAAATCTTCAAACATCATAACAATTTAACACATAATATTATAATAACTGTAATAATGAAATTATAATGTCTTAAAATTAAATAACATAACCTTAGTCAGATAAAATTTTGTGATGAGAGAGAGTTTAAAGGAATTTTAAGAAATTTTAAAGTTCAAATTTAAAAATTGTCGATCTAATAGTCTATACTCTATACATATAAAATGCTTTGTCCTGAATGACTGACTGACGGATCAACGCACAACCTAAACCTCTGATCGTAGAGACCTGAAACTTGGAGGGTGTGTTCTTTGTATGACGTAGGCATTCGATAAGAAAGGATTTTCCGAAATTATACCCCTAAGGGGATGAAAAACGGGGGCCTTAATATCTATATTAAAACAAAAAGAAAACCATATTATTATACACAACAAATCAAACCCAGATATTTTTACAATTAAAACTAAAAACCATTGATTTAAAGAAGACCGCAGATTTGGGGGGGATTTCCGTGACAGTTATTGCGTCCATAATAGATTTAATTGCACCTCACCTTGCTATTATTTTTAATACTTGTATCGATTCTGGTGTGATGAAGTATAGTAAAGTAATACCTTTATATAAATCTGATAGTACATTGGACCCCGCTAATTTTAGACCTATTTCTGTACTACCAACTCTCAGTAAAATTTTTGAAAAAATAATTTTGGATCAATTGTTAACTTTTTTTAATACAAATAAATTACTTCCTAAAAACCAATTTGGTTTTACAAGGGGTCGCTCGACGTCTGACGCCGGTGTTGAGCTTATGAAATATATTTTAATGCCTGGGAGAATTCACAAGATGCCTAAGATAGCCTTATGTATTTTCTGTGATCTTTCCAAGGCTTTCAATTGTGTTCATCATGATACATTAATCAGGAAACTACAACATTACGGTGTAAAAAATTTAGCGCTTAGACTTATTACTTCATATTTAAGTAACAGAATTAAAAAAAAGTAGTGATTAATGGTAAAGGTTCCTCCGGATCGGTAGTATCAATGGGCGTTCCTCAGAGCTCGATTCTTGGCCCATTCCTGCTTTTAATCTATATTAATGACTTACCTTATTTTGTAGGGGACAATCACGATATAGTATTATTTGCTGACGATACCTCTTTAATTTTCAAACTCAAACGACAGTTAATTAATTATGATGATGTAAATAACGCTCTATCAAAATTGGTACATTGGTTTAACGCCAACAATATGCTCTTAAACGGCAATAAGACAAAGTGTATTAAATTTACAATACCTAATGTAAAACATTCGAATACCAATGTGCTATTAAATGGGGAGGAGTTGAGTCTTGTGGATACCACTGTTTTTCTTGGTATTACTATTGACGCGAAACTTCAATGGGGCCCCCATATATCTAAATTAGTAAGCAGACTTAGTTCTGCAGCATATGCTGTAAGAAAGATTAGAAGTCTCACTGATGTTGAGACAGCTAGATTAGTGTATTTTAGTTACTTTCATAGCGTAATGTCTTATGGAATTTTGCTATTGGGTAATGCGGCTGACATTGAAGCTATATTTTTTTTGCAAAAGAGAGCCGTACGGGTGATTTATAAACTAAATTGTAAAGAGTCCCTCAGAGAAAAATTTTAAGAAATAAACATATTAACTTTGGCATCGCAATATATTTATGAAAATGTAATGTATGTGCATAAAAACATAAATAGCTTTAATAAGAATAAGAATGTGCATACTTTAAATACTAGGAACAAACATAAGCTTGTAATGCCAGTTATTAGACTTCACAGAATCAGTAATGAATGTATACGCTTTTACAACTAAATCCCAGAACGTATTCAAAGTTTGTCAATAAACAAGTTTAAAAGTTTTATTAAAGAAAAACTGTACAAAAAGGGTTATTATGATATCAAGGAATACATGAATGAAAATAACCCCTGGGAATAGGGTGATCGCCACCATGCTGGTTCTATGAAAAATCATTTAAAAATTGTATAAACAAAATTATTGTTAAGTGAAATTATGTTTATGTTTAAAAAAAAAAGTCCCGCTGGGTTTCTTGCTGGTTCTTCCCAGGACTGAGGTATTTTCCGAACCAGTGGTAAATAAAAAATTATTTTCAATAAGTATTATGTAATAATCAATATTGAATAAAAATTATTCTATTCTATTCTATTCCATTTAAATCAAAAGCACTAAGGAGTATTGATATCAACTTCGATGCAAATCATCACCAAAATAACTTTCTACCTCTTTTTAACCCCGTTAGGCGATGAATTTCAATAAAATACGAAACACGTCCTCCATCAATTCTGTTATTGAATTTTTCTGCAAAATTTGAAGTAGATAAAGGAAAGGAGAAGATAATCATCTGCTATATTTTCGTTCGCTGTTTAGCCAGTTTTTAGTTGACATGTTTGCGAAAATTGAGACGACAAGGTTGAGTTATATTAGGAACAATCAGACGCAGCTTAGAGCGGAAAGTTACATATATACACTTGGAAGATGCGATAGGGAGACAGGACGTTTTTTGAGAGATGCACAGAGAGCTGACAATGGTTACCCACAGTACAGAAGACGATCTCCGGCTGACGATGGTTTTACACTCCTATAATCTCCTATAATAAATTTCTGTCACGGACATTTAGGCACATGTTAATGAAGAATTTTGCAATTCTGTTAAATCGATAAAGTACATTTGTAAGTACATTAATGAGAGCAGTGATCAAGCGGCTTTCATGCTAGAAAACAAAAAGGACGAATTCAAATTATATGAGAGTTGCCAGTATTTGAGTAGTTCGGAGGCAGTTTGAAGGATTTTAGGCTTTTCCATACATGAAAGGTTTCCCGCAGTCATAAATTTAGCTGTCCAACTTGAAAATGGCCAACGAGTCTATTTTAATTCCGACAATCTCGCCGGCAACGTTAATAGCCCACCATAAACGACACTGTTAGCATTTTTTTATTTATGTCAAACAGATGATATGCGGAAGTGCCTTCATATTTTCTATGGTAAAAAAATAAATTTGTGAGAAAGAAAAGAGAAAAACCCGTAGATGAGGTTAGGGGTCCATCATCCTTCGACGACTTGAAGACTGTCAACGGTGTCTTCCAACCAAATTTCCAATTAACATATCAATTAGCAATTTCATTTGCATGAAACTTGGCATGATAGAAGAGACAATTTATAACAAAATTAATAACGTAAAAAAAAAACAATTAAAAATCCTATTAGAACCATTTTCTTCTACGCGAAAGAAGTCGCGGACAAAAGCTTGTCGTTAATATTATAGAATGAGGGTAACCAACGAGCACACAGTCAACCTGATCGTAAGTGGACGCTGTGGCTCATAGCTATCTGCATTTATCCTCGATTAAGAATCAAAATGCAGATACGTTGTTACTAAGATGAAATGTCTCGTTTCCAATAAAAAGGGTCTCCGGTTATCTACACTCACCATACACCAGCAAGCATTAAGCTGTTATTTTACGCTGGTATTCTGTGAGAGTTTGGTCCAACCTCGGTCGAGCAGGCCAATCCATGCTGCAACCATAATAAAGCTGCAGCTTGACTCTACCACGTAAGCTTGGCTCAACTACGTAAATGTTTAGTTGATTCTTTAAAATGTGAGGGCTCTTATATTCTCTTATATATTTTGGTAAATGGTTTTACAGGCGAGGTTACACCCATACGGAATAAGCTTTTCTTAAACAATACAGTCTTACTATTGGGATGGCTCAATTTACATTAATGACGCTGGACATTTAGATTTATTTAATTTTAATTTAGAGTTAAGTTCTAGCTCCTGTAAAAGGTCATCCTGAGTAATAGGAGCTCCTATTTTTGACAAGCTTTTGTTTAATTAAAATAAATAAAACAAAAAAAATCACGCATACCTACGGTTACCGTATCCGCCTAATGCAAAGAAAGTTTTCATAAAATATTTATAATACATTATACATCATTTGATTTGAATCGGATATCCCACTAGCGGCTATTTGCATGATATTAAGACCAACCATCTTATCCGATTGAGATGAAACTATACGAATAAATAGATAGCAATTTAGAATATGGCTTACAACTCTCACTCCGGTAAATTTTACAAATACTGTTACTCTGTCCGCACAATTACCCCAGAACATAATTTGTGTTTGTTACGATTACCTTCGTGTTCTATTTGTGAATTTCATCTTTCTTATATATATGTTCTATATCTTTAATTTCATTAACACTACGTTGTGATATTTCTATTTTTTTAATAGGTGTACATAATAAATTTTGTTTTGGTATTCACAAAGTTCGTCGTCTCTTGTTTACTGACACAGGTGTTGGACTACACGAGGAGTGGGTAGTAATTTTTTTATATGTTTTTATAATTTTTGGGTATTTATCAATTTCTAATTTTCAGCTAGTATTTTCTGTATTAAGATTATCATTGATGGGTACTCCTCGCAGCCATATATTGCCTACTCCGGTGTACCGCAAGGCTCGAACTTAGGTCCAGTATTTTTTAACATCTTTATAAACGACATTGTTTCGATATTTCAACACTCTAAGGTCTACCTATTTGCTGATGATCTCAAAATGGTTAAAACTATTAGAAGCAACTCTGACGTCGAATTACTAGAAGATGATCTCAACAGCCTTATTCAATGGTGTAATAACAACCAAATGTTTCTCAATGCCAAACAATGTCAACTTATTAGGTTTACCAGAAAACATAATTATATACAGAGTCAATACTATATTGATACTGAGAAACTAATTGCAGTTCGAGCGATACGTGATTTAGGCGTTATACTAGATAGCGAATTAAAATTTACAAACCATTTCGATAACATAATCACCTCAGCTACTAAGTCACTGGGTTTTGTATTGAGGAATTCCAAAGATTTCAAGCAGCCCTCTACTACCATTGAGTTATATGTACTACGTACTAGAGAAGCCATTCCAAAGAAAAATTGTGTCCTACTCTATGTCTTCGCGCATGCGCGAATACTTTAATTTGATATAAAATAAGATATTAATATAAAATAAATATAAGAATTTAATATAAAATATCTTAATTTATTCTAAACAAACATATTTCTAAATAAAATGTAATAATAATTATTTTATGGAATTCACAAATCTTCAATTTACGCAATATTTAGTTTGTATGGATTGCACTACAGTTCAGTTGAACATAGTCAATGTTCGGAATGGCTTCTCTAGTACGTAGTACATATATAACTCAATGTCTACTGCAATTGAACTTTACAGTAGTCTGGTTAGAAGTAAACTAGAATACTGCAGTCAAATTTGGAATCCGCGCTACAAAGTCCATAGCATTAGAATCGAAAGTATACAAAAGCGATTGCTGCGTCATCTTGCGTACCGTTCGAATAGCTATCAAACTAATGATTCCTAGGAAAGACAGTTGGCACAATTTACACATGTTGACACATGTTGTGATTACCCATAAAAAGAAATACAATTATAATGTGTTGAATTTTTTAAGAAAATAATACTGTTGTAATTTCTGTTGGTAATCCTAATAAATAAATAAATAAATCTATTTCTTGATGAGCAATTAATAAGTTACTTGAGAGCTTATTTATGTTTTTATTAAAAACAATATAATTTTGACTTTCATATAGAGATGTATTCGGTGAGCTTGTCATGGTTGCGTAAAACAGTGTAAAAGAGGAATATTGATACCGGTCATATCTTGTATTGAACGTTTTGGTTTTCTGTAGGTTATATTTTCAAATTCCATTTTTTTTAGTTATGACTACTATTAATTATAATATTTTAATTATAATTTTTAAATACGTACATAGGCGACAGAAAAATGAAAAATATGAACTAAAACAAGTATTCAAACTTGAGGGTTGGCCTCGATCCCACACCTAAAACGAATTAAAGTAGTCCTAAGTCAAGGTTTGAAATTATCAGTAATATTGCAGAATTTCATATTTGCCATCAGTTGGTAGTCGTTGAAATTGTTAATTATGATTATTATTATACTTATTGCACAAAGTTTATGAACACATTTAATATTACAGTAAAAATAAACACATTAAATTGTCCACATCTATAGTTAACATAACGAAAAAAATATTTAAACTTTTGTTCATGTCAGAATGGTGCTCGTATGTAATTTAATTTTGTTGGTCCCTTTATTAGTTATTTTTGTTCATTTAAATAGTCACAATAATATTAAACACTGTATCACACACCACGACTGTACTGTATAATATATTACACTTTTTGTAATAAATAATGCAGTTTATGTAACTTATATGTTTAATTATTGAGGACGATATACTTCACACACTTAGGCCGGCCGCATACATATGGAATTCCGTTTCGGGATTACGTTTCGGAAATACGAACGGGTCGCCCACACACATACGGAATCCCGTTTTGCCCGCAAAATTTCGAACGGAAAACTACCGTTAGTGTGTGACAGGTTTTTTATATGGGCTTACTTTTATATGAAATTCCGAGTGCAGAAAGCCCATATAAAATCATTAGCATTGTGTGGCCGACCCGTTCGGAATTCCGAAACGGAATACCGTATGTATGTGGTGGGCTTTAGTGGAGTATTTAAATTATTGAGAGCGGGTAGCGTGACCTTGTCTAATCGACAGTAAAGCCCAATCTGTCCGCTACGCGCTTTCTGTGACGTAGTGGTCTAGTTTTCTGGACACTATGTAACGCGGTCGACACACAGTTATGATTATAATAAATATTAAGGCATGAACACTTTTATTTTCATAAGAAACACAAATCTATAATTATCGTCTAAATGTTCTAGACCATTGGACGCCATATTTTGAGCACCTGAAAGAATCGTGGGAGAAGAGACATCACCCGAACATGTTATTCCTGTTTTACGAAGAACTCTCCAAGGTATTTTCATGTAAAATATTTCAAACAAGTACATACCTACTTACATTAACTTTGACTACGTTACTGTGTCTAATTTCGACCACGGGGCATCCGTTACCGTTTACTTAAATATTAAAACCCACTGTTGAACGTAGACTTCCTCCGTAGATTGCCTCATAGTGGGGATATTTGCCATAGTTGCCACGCTTGGAAAGCATATTTTTTTATTTTTAGTTGTTATTAGGAAGATGATGCTGCCCATTTCCTGATTTTTTTCCATCTGTAGCCTCTTACTACACCCACGGGATAATATGGGATAGTGGAAATTCTTACACACGCACGGTCCACGTATGTTACGAAATCATATCTTATGCCTTCAGTAATCGGTATAACACTGTCAAAAACATGGAGTTATACATTCGAAAAAGATAGATTTTTTAATCTAACATTGGTTTCGGCTGAGACTCGACATACATGTCAGCTATGAGGTACGACAAACAAATAGCTATGTGTTAGATAGAGTCTGCCTGACGCTACCACGCTACACGGATACTATAATATGATAACTTCTGTGTGATGAGGCCTAAAATGTCTATATTATACGTGATAGAGCCATGCTGCAGCTATATTAGTAGTATAATTGTAGCACGAAAGGGCCGGCTCGACCGGGGAAGGACCACGCTCTCACAGAATACCAGCGTAAAATAGCAGCTTAACATTTTACTGGAAAAGAGGCATTCCATCTTGGTCCTCACGGGTGACAGCGCATCTTCATTTTGATTCGCAAACGACGATAAATGTAGATGTCTATGGGCCACAGCAAACACTTACCATCAGGTGGACTGTGTGCTCGTTTGTCACCCTGTCCTATAAAATATATATATATATATATATATATATATATATATATATATATAAATCAATTGCTGTCCTTTATACTCTTTCTAAAATACGAAAACGGCTCGACCGAGTATGATGATTTTTGTATGTGTTTGAATGGGTCCCTGGATGGTTTGTATCCACAATTGGACGGGTCTAATAGTTAGCAGATGACGCTGTTATCGAGTTCCAGAAATCACTTGTGCGGAGCCGGGGCGGTTCGCGTGATGTTAATAAAAATGTAATGTTCCACACCTTTTACAATGTATAAGCTTATAAGCCGTAATTTTGCAAAATAATTTCTTATATTTACGCGAAGACTACACATTAAATTAAACTAATTTTTACGTATTTTATCGCGTTTAACTTAACTTTTTAATACCCGACGTTTCGGATGCTTTACAGCACTCATGGTCATGGCGAGGGGGGGGGGGGGGGGTGAGAGCGAGGTGCTTGACATTCCGATGTCATAATTAGCCCGGCTACCTTCGGTTTTTGAATATTAATTTTTTGGTCCGATCTACGCAGAATGAGCTTATAGTATCTTGAATTCTTGCAGTGGTATGCTTGGATTTGGATTTAATTTTATTAATTATAAGATCCCAAGCAGATGGCAGCACCCATCCATCTTCTCTGTTGAAATTAGGATTTGTTTTGCGAGGCTATTGAAGTAAAAATACATCCTAATTTGCAAATTTAAAATTTGCCTCACATTATATCATTTACTCTAATATTGCAGCCGAATCGCGGGTTCTCTTCAAAAATACCGGTCCAACACTACGTGCTTTGAAATAAAATGCGTAATATATTATCATAAACGCTCTCTCCATTAACCGTTACAGCTAACCTAATACTTTCTAATTTAATGCTAACAATGTTTATAACGACACCAATGTTATGATATGGGGTGATTCTCTTTCGCCGCCAGTACACGGGAGAATGAAACAGACGATGAGCAGCATATTTTTTTTATAGAATAAGGGTGACAAACGAGGTTACAGTCCACCTGATGGTAAGTGGTTGCTGTGGCTCATAGACATCTACAACTATCTTCGTTTGCGAATTCAAATGCAGATGCGTTGTCAGCCGTGAGGACTAAGATAGAATGCCTCTTTTTCCAGTAAAATCCAGGTCTCCGGTTCTCTACACTCACCATACGAAACACAACAGTGTTAAGATGCTATTTTACGCTGGTATTCTGTGAGAGTGTGGTCTTTTCCCGGTCGAGCCGACCCATTCGTGCTACAACTATACTATTAATATAGGTGCAGCATGGCTCTACCACGTAAAAGGCATCTTCCTGATAACCACTCAAAATAATATGAAACTGCGATTGCAGTGCATCCACATGCTGTTTTCGATAGCCATTACTAACCGTCTTGCACTCAGATTTGAAACTTAGCACTATGGCCAGTTTAACCTACATAATGTCTGTCAGCGAACGGTTAGGCTTCGAACGGTTAAGTCATTAGAAAAAGAAGTATTCGTGTCACACCTATAACCTCCGTATAGGTATTGGAAAACAACGCTGACAATTATTGAAGAATATGTCTGAAACAAATATTGGAGGAATCAATAGTATTTGTAGATTTAATATTACTGATATTATTGATATGAGACGCATGTAATTATTTCATCAAAATCCATCCGGTATTTTTTGCGTGATTGAGCCTATTGAGCGTACAAATATCCAAATATCCAAACAAACTTTCATTTATAATATTAGTAGGCTAGTAGGATTTTCAGGGCAGTAATAAACAATAAACTTGTTCCAACATTCAAACAATATTCGTAATAAATGACATTCTTACACCGCCAATTATAGTAAATATGGTAAATTTAATTAATTGGTGGTTATAAAAACTATCTTCTCTTCCATGAAATAAATTGACTTCTAAAACAAATTCCATTTTTGATCGAAGGACCAACATCTAAAAATTCTTTTAGATTTATAATATATAAATTAGATAATTAATACGCATAATAAAATTAAATAAAACTATTTTTAAAACTTTTCTTGGGTGCGAAATTATTCTGAATTAAGTTTATTTAAAATTATAATACATATATAATTTATAAATAACCTTACGATGCCATAACCAAAAAAAAACCTATAATATGACATCAAGAACTGTAAGATTATAATTATAATACTAAGTCTGCTAGACTAATAAATATATCTGTAAAATATATCAATATATATGGGGAGTATTATTTGACCTGCATACACGAAGAGTATACAGATCAATGGTATTATTTGACCATAGCTTATTGAAAATTCATATATACTAGATGACCATAGTCACTACAAGGACTCAAAATATATAAAATTTAAGATAAGATAAAAATAAACAGAATACAAACATTCGATCATACATTCGGTCTCTCGTCAGAGAGTAATTTATTCCTTGTACGATAGAACACGTAACGTAATTAAAAAATTAACTAGAACGTAAACAACGGAAATTCCCTACATCGATAATAATTATAGGTAAGTCGAAGTAAATATTATATCAATATCATTATGTGATCAATTCTAATAAGAACTAAAACATAATTTGATTAGTAACCGGTTTCATAACACTTTGAATCGTGAAGTCATTATTTATTTTAGGAAATTTGATAAAATAGAAATGGAACAACTGCGTAACAAAAATAAAAATTTTCAACCCAGGCTTTATCGTTTATTTTCTATAGATATAACTTTGGCGACTCAGTATCAGTGGTATGACATCCCACAAATTATTATTTCAAGTCTAGGTACTAGTCCATGTGCAATTTGTTCGGGTAAAACCCTCTCATGAAACATGAAAAATTTCAGTTTTGGAAACCGTATTCCCCCCGTAGCTGGCCACATGCCTCCTCTTATATTTAAGAGGGTTTTGGAGGAGGTTCGCAAAGTGGGTATATGTCTTTTATTCTTAAAATTTTATCCCTTAGGATAAAATATAATATTCCAACATATTAAGGGGAAGGTGGAGGGCCCCGTCCTACCTTGGAGGCAATTTATTTACGTCTTACCACCATTAACAATAGCTAATAGCACTCGAAAGTTAATTTAATTGTTAGTGTTACTGTTGCTTTTACTTCTATACGGGCTGGTTCCCCTAGTACTACGATTAGGAGCATATTTTTATCTTGTAGGCAGGAACTGAAGCAACTTTTTGATGGCGTTTAAGATTTCGGGTAGCGAACGCCGATGTACTAAGACAGCAGCAGGCAACCGCAGTGTACCCAAGTAGGACGTGAACTGCCGTATCTTCGCACTCGATGCAGGCTCTGCATTGAGGAATTTCCGTGACACCCATAGCAAATAGATGTTTGTTTACGTTTCGAGACCAAAGTCCAGTTATAGCGTTAACAGTTCGCGCGTGAGATTTGTACTCGTACAAACGAATATTTATTTATTAACTAAAATTAATTAAAATTAATAGACATTCAAACAGGCAGAGGTACTCGATTCGACTGTATGGTCTTTTTTTATGTGTGTCACCTCATAAGTGTTTCGTATGGTGAGTGTAGAGAACCGGAGACCCTTTTTTACTAGAAACGAGGCATTCCATCTTAGTCCTCACGGGTGACAACGCATCAGCATTTTGATTCGTAATCGAGGATAGATGTAGATGTCTATGGGCCACAGCAACCACTTACCATCAGGTGGACTGTGTGCTCGGTTGTCACCGTAATTCTATAAAAAAAATCGGGTAGATACCATAATCCTTACCCATTTCTGCCACTAAATAGCAGTTAGCTTGCACTACTATGTTCTGCTCTGAAGGTTGTCTATGTTTTATAAATAAAATAAAAAAAAATACCTGTTACTCAGATTGAATTTTTTTTTGCCTTATTAACAGGACCTGCCGACAGCAATACGTCGAGTCGCGGACTTCCTGGGCAAGACCTACACCACAGAGCAAATTGACAAACTATGCGACCATCTCAACATCGATAACTTTAAGAATAATAAATCGGTCAACTATGACTTGATGCGAGAACTGGGAATTCTAATATCAAATGAACAGTCTTTTATTAGAAAAGGTAATGGTACATTATACAATCATTAAAAAATATGCGATAAAATATACTATGCTAAACAAATAATTTAAAATGTTGTACAACTGACTTCAGTATAAATTATTAAGAGTAACCGAAAAACTATTGGTCAGACCTTGATCAAATGTATATGAGACTACATGAGAGGCACCAGCATTCAAATAAAAAAAAGAGTCATCGAAATCAGTTCACCCGAAAAAAGTTATGAGGTACACATAAAAAAATACAGTCGAATTGTGTACCTCCTCCTTTTTGAAGTCGGTAGAAAAGTGCCACTGTTTTTGCCAATATCGGTTGTGTATTTTCATTTATGTTGATAACATATTTATTTTTCTTCATTCATTTCAGCCAATAAAAATTCTATTGCTGAACATAGGCCTCCGCTATAAATTACCCCATGCCCTAATATTTACACTATTTGCACGCTTGGCAAACGGATTGGAAACCGCAGTTTTTTATTATTTTAGTTGTTATGAAGAGTTCTTTCCTCCCTTTAAAGAATCCTTTTATTGTCTGTCTGCCCATCTATCAAGACCATTTTGTTCCTAAGAGATATCAAAATCAAATACTAAGGTCTACGGAGGGCTCCTTGTAAGCGTAAATAAATCAAACTTCTAAATCAAAGTGACCTTGAATCATGAAGCACAAGTGAAATAAAAATTGAGAACCTTTAGTTTGAAATTAGATTACAAAAAAAATATTTTTATTTATAAACTTACATTGCATTTGGATCATTGACCGTGATATAGACCTACGTTTTATACGTGGTAGAGCCATGCTGCAGCTATATTAGTAGTATAGTTGCAGCACGAATGGGTCGTATATACGAATACCAGCGTAATATAGCAGCTTTATGCTGCTGTGTTTCGTATGGTGTGTGTAGAGAACCGGAGACCCTTTTTACTGGAAAAGAGGCATTCCATCTTAGTCCTCACGGGTGACAACGCATCTGCATTTTGATTCTTTATTGAAGATAAATGTAGATGTCTATGGGTCACAGCAACCACTTACCATCAGGTGGACTGCGTGCTCGTTTGTCACCCTATCCTATAAAAAAAAGGCATGTATGTGAGAATTTTTTTTCTACTGGAAATGAACTTTGTCCTTCAATTCCACTTAGGTACTTTTTGTTCGGTGCTAACTTGCTCACAATTTATGAATTTCAGTAACTTTATTATTTTGACTCTCGATTCCCGGGATGAATGAATTAAGTAACTATACACAGTTAACTTTATTCGGAACTCTTAGGGTGCAAATGTGTTTAAAAAAAACCGGAAAAAAGCTGTTCTACTCGCTTCAATCACATGTCTGTAGGCGGGCATTCACGTACTATCATCTATACTGAGCGCTCGATTTCCTCTTAATTGCCTTCTACTTTCTTCGTCAGTCCGTACATGTCCTCTGCTGGTTATGGGTCTCTACCATTGTAAGGATTTACTTGGTTGGCGGATACACAATCGCTATACCAAACGTAGCGCACTTTCGACGGTGCTATCGTTCTGGTTATTTTACGTCTTGAGTTTACGTTACGAGATTGTACACCGTCATCTACTGCAATTTAAAATATTTGTCCGGAATTTTCCGCCCGTTACCCAACCGCATGACGAAATTAATTTATATAATAATTAATAACAATAAAGCAATTAAATAAGCTGTAAATTTGTCACAAACATAATTGTTATTTGCCTGTATTAGTTTACGACGGGCTGTTTTCCGCAACTCCACGTCTATGCGCGTATTTTTCATGTGGGCAGGAATAATGTGATTATTCGAGCCATGCGATCTCCCCGAAGAAGCTCAACAGTCCTTTGATGTTGCATGCAACTTCGGGGGGTGATCCCGGCGTGCCGAGATGCTTAGCTCTGTACGTAGCGACCTCCGGACATTTCAGTAGCACGTGGGCCGCCGTTTCTTCCTCCCTTTTTTTTACATGCCTCATTTAATCGTTGATGGCATTCGTATAATAGTCCCGAGCTCACCACATTGCAACTCAGAGCTTGTAGTACCGCCCTACTGTCGGTCAGTATTCTGATGGGGAAGTCATTAACCTTCCTAGCATTTATTGCTATGGCCGCTTGAATGATACCCATACATTCGCCTGAAAGACTGTGTTATAGGTACCCAGCGATGTGCATATGTGGATACTGAGGTCTTCAGAGAAAGTTCCAGAACATACCTACACCTTCATTTGTTTTAGAACCATCGGTGAAAACTCTAAGCTCTTTTTTTCTCCTTCCGGTTGGCTGGTTTCATTTAATTGTATCTTGTACTTCTTATCGAATACAAATTGTTTAGGAATCTTATCATACTTGGCTTGTAAGATAGGAATTTTGGAGTGAATTCTATCAATTATGCCTGTATGAGGGACACCATTCTTACTTCAAAAAACTTGCCTGTATTATCCAAATTCTAAAAATGTTATAGAAACTATTCATATAGCAAAATAGCCGTGGGCGCAGAGATTGAGAATGAAATCAAATAAATCAGAATTGGTTGGTTCTCACTTTTTTGAGATTACAGATGACAGATGAGATGACGCGTCTGCATTTTGATTCAATCGAGGTTAGATGTAGATGTCTATGGGTCACAACATCAATTTACCTTCAGGTGAACTGTGTGCTCGTTTGTCACCATTATTATATAAATCCTCTACTGACTAAAGCAGTTGATTGACCACAAACTGATGATGACTGGTACACTGCTAATCAGCTGCGAACAAACAATATTGAAAAAAGATATAAACTTCATTTACAGGTAAAGCCGGTGGCTGGCGAGATTATTTCGATGAAGAAATGACAATTCAAGCTGACAAATGGATGGCAAAAAATCTACGCGATACAGACTTGCGTTTTCCGCATTTACAAGAGTGATTATATTTTATCTTTACGGAGAACTTTCTGTACATATTAGCAAAATGGTATTATACTTCATACCGTCTTAATACAAAACGTGATTTATTGATAGTATAATATTTAAATAATGATAAACTCAGATTCAAATAAATTAAAACAATGACAATCTCGTTTTAACGAATTCAGCCAATGTCAAGTCATACGTGGCATTGGCTCAATATTATACGTAGTACTATTATTTATTCTGTGCTATTAGCCTCTAAAGATTAATGATTCTTAAACCTTTATAGGGCAGATTTTTGTTGTATTTGAATTTTTGGTATCGGGATAGATTTAGGGGTGTATAGGGACTGGAATTAGTGTGACATTCACTAGCTGATATATTCGGGTTTGACTGTAGCGGGTCGTTCCATATGAAACCAAGACCATTTAGGGGAAAATTATTGTAGTTTTGTATGACCGTGACCGTTTAGAGAAAAATATTGTAAATAAAATCAAATCATAATTAAATGATTTTTATTTAGAATAACAACATTTTTGGAATTTTTTATCTTAAAAAAATCATAAATTATTAATCAAAGTGACGAAGTGTACTATTAATACAAAAATGACTTCTTTGTGTTATAAAAAAAATCTTCCAAATAATATAGAATAAAAAACTTTCCTAAAGATCTTCTGTGAAAAACTACAACTATTTGTAAGTAACTTTTCGTAGAATATCTATTATGTATATAACATACAATAAATCTAAAAAGAAAAGAAGATGAGAAAAGTCGTGTCTGTAATTCTAATATATTCTTGAAAAATTAAGTCCAGGGGACTAAATAAAAGATTCTGAAGCCAAATGTGGTTTTTAGATTTAGGTCTATCTGTCAGTCTGCCTGTGTATTACAGAATCACGCAAAAACTACTGGACCGATTTACATCAAATTTTGTATGAAGGTAGTTAGCAACTTATAGGTTACTTTTTATTCGATTACAGAACTTCGAAAAGAAGATTATAACTATTTTTCTTTAATTAATATTAATACGATTAATTTTCTATTATATTTTAGTTATAGGCGGGATGACGGGTGTTTTTTAAATAAATACCATATTTATAAATAAAGTCGTGGAGATGTGAAAACAGTTAATATGCATTGAAGCATTGCAGCATACTCTATTTTTGTGCCCACAAAACATTATAGATAATGAGGAGCCCTGTACACAGAAGTGAGACGTATATTAGCTGCTACTTTACTTTTTTACCTTTAATAAAACTTATAAATCAGTTTATAATTTAAGAGAGCTTTCATATTTTCAGACATTAAGATATTTGTGACAGTCTTGGTCTCATAGCTTATATGAGTATATCATATAATTATTCTATGGAGTATATGTAAAGGAACAGGCTGTTGCCGAACTTTAATTAAATAAAGCATATTTTACTTAAAAAGGTTCATTTTATTTTACTTGCCAAAGGCTACCGCCTTCAATCGAACTGATTAAAACTTAAATTTCATAGTACGTAAGCATTATTATATATTTTAATTGCAATTTGAAGTGTCGATTTACCACGTTCTCGGCGGTGAAAGAAAACCTGCATATCTGAGAGGTTTCTCAGTTGAGGTCATCCCGCGTTGGAATCAGCGCAGCAAAAATTTTTTAAGCTCAAAACTCTGCGACCTGTGCCCAGTAGTAACATGTATGTAAGCTGCAACTTTTTTACTTTTCATGGGGCAATATAAGTTTTTATTTCATTCATATTTTCAGGTATGTTACTTTTTTGTTTTCACTCTACCGTAAATATTAAGGATTGCAAAGATGAGTAGAACTCTTATATTTACGCGAACACTACACATTGAATAAAACTAATTTTACGGATTTTATCGCGTTTAATTTACATATTTTTATTAATTCCCGTCGACGTCAATCGACGGATTCAACTCGGCTGGGCAGCGTTCGGGAAGCTACGACACATCTTCTCGTCAGACATACCTCAAAACCTTAAAACGAAATTGTACAACCAGTGCGTGTTGCCAGTGATGACTTACGGAACTGAGACGTGGTCCTTCACTGCTGGCCGTATGAGAAAGCTCAAGGTCGCTCAGCGAGCTATGGAGAGGGCTATGCTCGGAGTTTCTCTGCGTGATAAACTTAGGAATGAGGATATCTGCAGTAGAACCAGAGTAACCGACATAGCCCAACGGATTAGTAAGCTGAAGTGGCAGTGGGCCGGCCATATAGCTCGAAGAACCGACAACCGATGGGGAAGAAAGGTTCTCGAGTGGCGGCCTCGTACCGGTAGGCGAAGTGTAGGGCGTCCCCCCACGAGATGGAGTGACGACCTGGTAAGACATGCAGGAAGTCGATGGATGCAGGTGGCTCAGGACCGTGCTTTGTGGCATTCTTTGGGGGAGGCCTATGTTCAGCAGTGGACTTGTGAAGGGCTGTAATGATGATGAAATGATGATTAATTCCCGACGTTTCGCGTGCTTTACAGCACCCATGGTCCCGTGGGACTGAGGTGATTGACGTCCCGATGTCAGAGTTAACCCGGAGTACCTTCAGCTTTTTTAAGTATTAATTTTGGTCCGATCTACACAGAATGAACTTAATGTGTCTTGAAGTCTTGCAGTGATATGCTTGGATTTAGTTTTAATTTTTTTTATTTACAGTATCCCAAGCAGGTAAACAGCCTCCCTCTCTATTGAAATTAAGATGTTTTTTAATTTCAATAGCCTCACGTATGATCCTTGGCAGGAATCGATGTTCTTTCGCGAGAATGTGTGTTTATCAAATCTAATGTAATGGCTGTTGGTGCTTCACGTCAGCTATATGTTCTTTTACGCGGGTTTTTATTGATCGTTTTGTTTGCCCTATATATGAGAGACCACATTCACAATCAAGCTTATACACTCCTGCATCTTGTAGAGAAATATTGCACTTGACGGATGGTAAGAACTGATTAATCTTCTTCGGCGGCTTGAATAATGTTCTAATAGAAGCTCGCTTCAAGATGTAGCCAATGTTGTCTGTGACACCTCTGGCATATTATGGTAGTACGGCAGGAACACGCTCGACTGTGGCCGGCTTCACTCGGTCACTGTGACGTAGGCGCGAGACCCGAAGCTTGTTGTCATGCAGAACCTGCAAAAGTCTACTGTAATACGTAAAATAAACAATTGAGCACTTATTCAAAGTCTTAAAAATCGGTTTTAGTACCTGTTGAGTTCAAGTCGTTATTGTACTTCATAGAAACAAGTCGGACTTAAGATATATACCAAATTGATGGAAAATAACTGAATGTTTCATTAAACTTTTATTTCATTCCTTGAAACACATAAATATCACGAGACACAGTCACTTCGCCAGATCGTAAACACTTATGAAACAGAAGGTAGAAACTTAACCACCAATATATTGCACCTAACCAAGGAAATATGATATGACTAACTCATTTTGGTGGTTTCGCTTGTTGCTTGCGCCCGTTTAGGGACTCATTTAAATATAAGGTCGACTACCATTGCAAGCAATAATTAATTATGAGCTTTAGTCAACCTTGTCATATGGTTACAGCCGCCATGCTAATTTCGCTTCTGCCTTTTATAGGGGTACATTTTTGAACAGACTGTTTGTAACTTGGAGTTTGTTAAGTCTTTCAAAATAGTGCCCGCGGCTCATAATAACCCACGACGCAACCATATACTCGTACATATTGTAATATGTATGTAATTACTGTAAGGACGTAACAGTCAAAGATAACATTATAATCACTACGTTTAGCAAGTCTTCGCAAAGTTGAATTTTTATTGAAACAGACTCTTTAAACCTGGGACTAAAATAAATAAAAACCACTTTTTAGAAGAAGAAAGACTCATGTCTAATTCGATCTCTTACAAAATATCGTATTTAATTTTCTGTAATAAATAATTCTTTAAAATGTTTTGCAAATTTATCTGATGTTCTACTTAGTTAGAGTAAGATTATGTGAATGTATAAAAAAATATATTAAGTATATATTAATTATTAGACATCGGATTTAATGCATTTGCATATTTGCATATGCACATACCTATAACTCTCTAATTACGGCTTTAATGCTTATTTTAGCCTTTTTTCCCTTCGATCAACAGTTGGTATTGTTGATCGAAGTTTTTTCCCAATCGTGCATATTTCGTTTAGTAGCGGGAGGTACGTAGCGGGAGGTACCTAGGTGACGAAGACGTTTAGGGCGCGAGCGTAGTGGCTGAATAAACTGACTGGCGTTTTTTAGCCAATGACCTCAGTTGATGTAGAGAAGTCGTTTTCGGCGTACAAATTGATATTGGGTGACAAATCCGCTCGAAAATTTGGAAAAATATTTGTATATTGTCATAAAAACTATGCATAATTTTAAGAACATTTCGCTGTTTTTGTACCGTATTTAATTAAAATATACAAAAATAAAAATGGTTTTTTGATTTTGCATTGAGCATATTTTAGGCATATCAACAATTTTAAGTGCATATTTCGGCCATTTTTAGTGTATATTTGCATGCATATTTTGGCACTTTGTTAGTGCATATAATCCGATGCCTATTAATTATACATTGTTGTAAAGGGGAAATTTAGGATAAAATGTATTTTATTAGGTGTATGTTTCTTATTATAGCGCCCCTAGGGCCGCCGTTAGATGCACGTCTAGACGTGCATCTAACAAAGCAGTGATTATGAGACTCCGTTTGTGCTATGAACAGAGATCCCAGGACTCCATCTCTACGCTGATGATGACCACCGCCCAACAGATGTTGTGGGTAAAAGTCCGGTATAGCCTTTTCGTTGCCCCCATATCAGAATTTAAGATGGGTGACAAAATTGTGCGCGATTAAAGACCTTGAGTGTTTATAAAACACGGAAAAGGAAATATACGTCCTGCGCAGTTAACCAAGTTGACTTATTACAATCTAATTAAATCTAAAATAGTTAAATGTTGTAAATAAAAGTAATTTGATACCGTCGGCTAATTATTGACCTTGGCCTGACGGAGTTATTATAAT